TTCATCCCATTTTTTATCAGTTAGCCATAGCTTTTGCATAAACAGTTTCCCTATTATGGTCACTGGAGCTAACCACCCTAAGGGATCATATATTTTAGCAAGTGTTGATAAGACTGTTCTTTTATTTATTGTTTTAATATTGTTGTCAGTGAAACTAAATTTGAATTCATCTTTGAGGGGTTCCCACTGTAGACCTAATGTTTTTATTGACTCATTCTCTTCAATGCTTAACACCTTATTTTCTTCATTTCTGTCTATTTCTTCAATTATTTCTGATTTATTTGAAATCCACTTTCTCAGATTAAATCCTACTTTTGCTAGTTCACTGGAAACACATTCAACAATTTCTTTACAGTTTTGTATGGACTCAGCGCCTGTCATAAGATCGTCCATATAAAAATCTGTTTTAATTATTTCTTTAATTGTTGCGTTATTGCAATTATTGGCTATGTCTAAAAGAACTCTAGTGGCTAAGTAAGGAGCTGATGCAGTACCATAAGTGACTGTGGTAAGCTTAAAAGTTCTTTAGTTTTTTACTTGGAGAATCTCTCCAGACAATATATTGAAATTCTTGGTCATGTTTTGCTATTTTTATTTGCCTATACATTTTTTCTATATCTGCTGATACTACATATTCCCAGCGTCGCCATTTTAATATAATGTCAAATATATCTTTTTGAACTCTTGGTCCCGTCCACATAATGTCATTTAGACTTTTCTTATTTGTTGTTTTTGCAGATGCGTCAAAAACTACCCTTAGCTTCGTTGTCAGACTACTATCTCTTAACACTGCCTGATGTGGTAAATAATATTTTCCTTCTTTATTTGTAGATATCATATGTCCTAACTGCAAGTATTCGTTCATGAAATTTGTGTAGTCTGTTCTTAATTTTTCATTTTTTTGCAGCTTTTTCTCTAAGCTAAGAAATCGAGCTATAGCTTGTGGCTTTGATTCTCCTAATTCATTTTCTTCTTTGAACGGAATTGTTACAACATATCTACCCCTTGAATCAATTTTTGTTGTATTCTGAAAATTTTTCTCACAAAATTCTATCTCTTTGACATCTTCTTCTTCTTCGTTTTCTAATTCCCAGAACCGATCTAGGTCTTCTATTGCAATACTTGTCGCTACTATCGTTGTTTTACCTTTTGATTTTGTACAACCTGATACAATCCAACCAAATTCAGTCTTTTGCCCAAGTAATCCATCTATCTTTACTATCCCATCTTTTAGTACGTGTGGATATAAGTCTGCACCTATTATTATGTCTACACGACCTGGTTTATAAAATTGTGGATCAGCTAAAGTGAAATTGTGCCATTGAGCCATGTCTATATTTGCTTTACTAACTGGGAGAGCTTTCATTAACTTTGATAATATGATGGCCTCAACCCTAAACTGTTCTTTATTTGGTTCTCTAGGTTTTATTATTAGTTTAACTTTGTGTTTCGACCTACAAGTATTTTCTGATGAGACACCACTTATTTCTGTCTCATTTCTGATTCTGGGTAATTTTAGCAACTGTGCGGCCTCCTCAGATATAATTGTTTTTTGAGATCCACTATCTATTAAGGCTCTTAAGTTGATATAATTCCCCTTTATTGCTTTAACTTTAATTATCGCTGTGGCTAATAAGGCCTCTTCATTTGTTACTACTGTATTAACTTTTTCTGTATTTATATGTAACATTGTATGATGAGGCTTCTTACAAAAGTAACAATTCATGCTACTTGTACACCTATTAGTATTCGTGTGTCTTAAACACCTCAAACATAACTGTATCTTTCTTGCAGCATCCAATCTTTCTCTTGGGACCATTGCCTTAAATTTCGTGCATTGCGTGGTACTATGACCTACTACTTTGCATATAGGACAATTGTAACCAGAGTGAATTTTCTTTTCCTCCTTATTTGAAGTGGATAATGAACAATGTCGCTGATCTAAGTAGTCCATTACGTCAGTCAGTAATTGTATTTCTTTTGTCTTTTTTATTTGGCTTTCGTATAATTGAAGTGCCTCTTTACTAAATTTTCTTAGTATTATGTGTGCAAAGATTTTATCAACTTCTTCTGAAAGTTGAGCCTTACTTTTAATTATATGTATTGACTCATTAATTGTATCAATAAAATAATTGATACTTTTGGATGAGTCAATATTTAAATTTGGAAGGTCCATTATTCGGTTCAATTGTTCCGAAAAAAATTTTCCTTTTATTTTCATATCGCTTGGTAAGTAATTCCCAAGCGGTAGAATAATTATCTGCGGACCCCGTTAATAAATGAGCAACCATGCTCTTTGCTTCTCCTCGTAATGAGGATTTTAAGTAACTGAATTTGATAGAAGGAGTTAAATCTTCTCTTCTATCAATAAGGTCGCAAAATAATTCAGCGAATAAATCCCAATCTTTGACATCTCCAAAAATATTGGGACTTGAATTTTTGGTAGACCCGGAAGGTTATCCATTTTTTCGTGGATTATGGGTTGAATTGGGGTGCCTTTTTTGGCTTCTAACGCACTGATTGCATTTTTGCACATCAAAATCTAATTCATTAACCTCTTCGTCAAACATTTTGTTTGACACATATTTATTTCTTAGCTCCTGAACTAGCTTTGAAACTTTATTCCATAAATATTTAATTTTATTCTTTCGAATCTCGAAGATTCCTACGTTTCCTTTTGCAATGTCCTCATATACTTCTACTAAATATAGTTTTAACTGTTCGACTTTGCTTTCAAACTCTACTTCTTCTTCAGAGCTTTTGTGAACTGTGACTGCTCTAACATGCTTCACATCTTTATCTTCTTCTTTCTCAGCCCTCATAATTTCTAATTTCAAATCTTGTATGCTTTTCATCGCTTTATCAAATTCCTTATTGTTAAAGTATGCATGGTCTATTACCCCTACTTTTAACAATAAGGTATGATTATTTTCTAATTCTTCTTTTATTTTTTTTCTAACTCTCCTAAAATTTCGCTCGGTGGCCTAATTTCTTCAGATGAGTCTAGTTTTTTCAATCTGGACACTAAGTCCGATTGCATTTTCAAGAGCTTTATCACTTTTTCTGACAGCATTCTTTTTATTTTTATTTATATTTATTAAAAAAAATTAAACTACGACTTATCTTTATTTTATCCGCGCTGTCCTCCTGTTGATCCAGTCTTCTCTGAAGGGGGCGCCTGATGATCTTGGTGATATTCCTCTTCCCGTTGGCCACTGACGGTTCTGATGAGTCGCTTTCTTTCGTCGAATTTCGCTGTAGTTTTACTCTGTCTCTCTTTTTGGATGGAGAACATTACCTTTTGGTAGTATTCTGCCTCTCCGCACTTTGCGCGAGAGAACAGAATTACTTCGATTTTTTATTTTTTTGAACCGAATTTTTCGGATTTTTATTTATTATTTTTTTTTAATTTTTTCTGTCTCCGCACTTCACGCGAGAGAACAGAATCACTTCAATTTTTGTTTTTGTTTTTTGTTTTTCTCTCTCCGCACTTCACGAGAGAACCGAACTTTTCGGATTTTTAAATTTTTTTTTTTATTTGGTCTAGTCCCTTTTTGGGAATGCAGACCCACCAGCACTACAAATTTTTTTTTTTTTAAATTTGAGCACCACTTTTAGTTTATATATGTATATACTCTGTCTCTTACCACTGGCGGGGGAAAACAGAGTAATATACTATATTTTGTCTTAAGCTGAGTTTTAAAACTATCAGCATTAAGACGCTGGTTCCTTTCTCTGTGTCTCTTACCACGGGTGGGGGAAAACACAGAGAACGCCGAAGGACCAAAATGTTAGAGCGTTAAAATGAAAAACACTCCACATTTGCCGAATTCAAGATCTTAACTGAACTCTTTATTGCTTAAAATCCTAGTTCTTATATACCTAACAGAGACTCTTAAAACTACTTCCAGTCACTGGAAGGGTGCATTTTCTCACACAAACAAGTGCCCAGATGTTTACTTAAGTGTCCCTTTTTTTTGAATCTTTGGGCCCAGGCTCACGTTACATTTACATATATTAGACGCTGCATTGGTCGCTGCAACTAAGGGATGACATATTTATTACTTTGTGTCGGATAACGCGCAGGTTATTCGAGTACTGTCTCTATTTTTATTATTATGTATGTTCATGTTTGAACATTGCGCTTGTGCAGAATCAACTGTTTGCCTGAAAGTGCAAGCTTTTTTGCAGCAACTCATATTGGCAATCGGGATAGATCACAAAATTACTGAATGTAAACAGAAATGTCACAACAAAGAGAGATATAAATGTGTTGAGAACGAGTCCAACAACAAACAGCCGTTACAGAGCGCAACGAAAATATATGTTGAGAGAGCGAGTCAACAACAAAAACAGCCGTTACGGAGCAGATCAAAAGTCCTCAGCGAGAGAGTATACTTGCACACCACAAAAATCAAAGATTCAAGAGAGGCAAATACAACAACCGTAGATAGTGAGAGCAACTTATGCACACACTCACACAAACTTAGAAAGAGTGAACTGGGGAGAGCGCCAACAAATAGAAACACTAAAGCAAAAATGCAAATAATGAAACTAATGAACCGACACTGCACACAAAGCTTCACAAATTAAAAAAGCAAATTATTAAAAACGCAGTGAACAACGGATCAAACCTTGCACAGGATAATATAGATATTTGCTGTATACAACCGAACCGCAATTATGTGAAATTTAATAAAAATAATTAACTAAGAAAACAAGAATAATTGAAGAGCACAATAGTAAACACGTCTGTTAACTCTCACTGAGAACTCTCTCACTGAGTCAGTCGAATTGAGGCCTCAGCTTTAGTCATCCCACGGCTCTCCGGCAATCTGCCATCGTACCCCATTCCACAAAATCTCTTGAACAATCTGCCCGACATCCCATTAGCTGATCCACTTTTCTTCAAGAGCGCTCAAATTGACGTTCTTTTAGGCGCGGATATCCTTCCGTCGATCGTTCAGGGGGGCTTCCGCCCTAACCTCTGCGGATCACTAATGGGCCAAGAAACAATCTTTGGCTGGATTCTTACGGGTCCAGTCACAAAGAAGCCTCAAGAGTCAATTTCCGCTTTCACGACTAGGGTTACCATTCTCCACGATGAGAAACTCGACCATCTCATCACCAAATTTTGGGAGGTGGAGAATCTCCCCAAGGTAGCCAGTGAGCCGGACTCTGCGTGTGAGGACAATTTTGTCCGAACCACACGGAGAGACAAGTCTGGCTCCTACGTCGTGACTCTTCCGTTTAAAAATCCGGATCACCCTGACTTAGGTCATTCGCGATCCATCGCTCTGGGGCAGTTTCTCAAAAATGAGAGCAGGTTGTCCAAGAATCCGATACTCAAGGCCGAATACGAAGCTATCGTGCAAGAGTATCTCGACTTGGGTCATATGAGGCCAGTGTTTTCACATTGCAATCCTGCAATGAGTAACTTTTACCTGCCTCACCACGCAGTGTTTAAGCCCGACAGCACCACCACCAAAGTGAGGGTGGTGTTCAATGCATCGTGCCCATCTTCCAATGGGAAGAGCCTGAATGATATTCTTCATCCAGGCCCGGTCCGGGCAAATCCTCCAATGGCGATACTATCGATACGTGTTCAATGCAGATATCACTAAAATGTATCGCCAAATTCGTGTTGATCCAAAACACACCCCTTTCCAACGAATCCTGTTCCGTAAGCCAGACGGCAACATCGGGGACTTCGAGCTAAGCACCGTCACTTTTGGAGTAAACTGTGCTCCCTTCCTGGCTTTGACAGTTCTCAAACAGCTCGCAAATGACGTGAGATCCCGTTTGCCTCTCGCCAGCAAGGTCATCTCCGAGTGCATGTACGTCGATGACGTACTTGCAGGAGCACATTCCAAAGAAGAGGTGATCGCAACCATCGCCGAACTCATAGAAGCTCTGGAGAGTGCGGGGTTTCCATTAAGGAAGTGGACATCCAATTCCATGGATTGTTTGAAGGCTATCCCAAAGAGTCATCGGCTGTGCGAGGACTTCTTAGAGCTAGAAGATTCAAGCACAGCAAGGACTCTAGGCCTACGTTGGCAAGCGCAAGCCGATCTGTTTCTTTTTTCGCCCCCCAACATTCCTCTCCAGGAGACCTACACAAAGAGGTCGGTCCTTTCACAGATCGCCAAGTTGTTCGACCCCGCAGGGTGGTTGGCACCTTTTGTCATCCGAGCAAAAATATTTATGCAAGCGCTCTGGCTACGCGATTTAGATTGGGACCAACCTCTGCCGGGTGATCTCCTCACCCAATGGCAAGAGTTTCTCCTCAGCTTCTCCAGCCTTCGGGACATTCGTGTGCCTCGATGGGTACATTTCCAACCTCGAGCCACTATCCAATTTCATGGGTTTTGTGACGCATCGGAGCGTGCTTACGGAGCGGCTGTCTATCTCCGTGTAGAACTTGGCAACCAGATCTTCGTCAATCTGCTCTCCGCCAAAACGAGAGTCGCTCCGATCAAATCCATTTCTATACCCCGCTTGGAGCTTTGCGGTGCTGTCCTTCTGACCGACTTATGCTCAGTACTGCTCCCGGCATCCCCGGCAGTCAGTTTTCAGTCCTTTTACTGGACCGATTCGACTATTGTCTTAGCCTGGCTAAACAAGCCTGCCTGCAATTGGACAACCTTCGTCGCAAATCGGATCAGTAAAATAACTGAGCTCACCAATCCTGGTGACTGGCATCATGTCAGCTCAGAGCATAATCCTGCGGATCTAGCTAGCAGAGGAGCTCATCCTCAAGAACTTCTTTCAAATCCGCTATGGTTCCATGGCCCAGATTGGCTTCGACTTTCCCAGTCTCACTGGCCAATCATTCCTGTTCTTAGCTTGGAGATTGCTCTAGAGAAAAAGGCATCTAAAAGTCATGCTGCCACCTTGACTCCTCCAGCTGAATTCATAAGCAGGTTTTCAGAACTTCATCGAGCCCTCCGTGTCACCGCTTGGATGTTTCGTTTCATCAACCGGTGCAGGAGATCCGCTCCCCCTCCATCGCAAGAGCTCAGTGCTGATGAATTGCACTTTATTCAGTCCAGGTTCATCTCCTTGAGCCAAAACAGAATCTACTCAAACGAGATCAGCTGCTTACGTGCACAGAAACAACTTCCGGCCTCAAGTTCACTCCGCAATCTTAATCCTTTCCTGGATAGTAAAGGTATCCTGAGAGCATGCGGACGCATAAGGACATCCGCCTCCTTAAGCTATGACGAGCGCCACCCCATCATCCTCCCTTCTTCGTGCTCTTTCACAAAGCTGCTGGTCCGCTTCACCCATCGCATATCCTTGCATGGCGGGAACCAATTAATTGTGAGACTCATCCGTCTCCAAACGCAAATGATGGGCGATCTGCCAGCTGATCGCACAACCTTCACCAGGCCCTTCACCGTCGTAGGCGTCGACTTTGCAGGCCCCTTCGATGTGAAGAATTACGCCGGACGAGCCTGCCTCATCACAAAGGGTTACGTCTGTGTGTTTGTGTGTTTCAGCACCAAGGCTATCCATCTCGAGGCCACGTCCGACTTAACCACCGAAAAATTCTTAGCGGCGTTCTCCCGCTTGGTGGCTCGGCGTGGATGTCCGCAGAAGATTTACTCCAACAACGGGAAAACGTTTGTCGGAGCCGCAAAGACTTTATCACGAGACTTTGTGGAATCACTCCGATCCGAGGTGCTTGCAAAGCACTCTCTCCATAGCCTATCCTGGCATTTCAACCCACCGAGCGCACCACACATGGGCGGCTTGTGGGAATCAGGAGTGAAGAGTTTCAAGGCCCTATTCTACAAATCCACTGCCACGTCGAAATATACTTTCGAAGAGCTTTCGACCCTCTTGGCAAGAATAGAAGCCTGCCTCAACTCGAGACCGATAGCACCCATGTCCGAGGATTCCACCGATTTACAAGCCCTTACTCCAGGACACTTTCTAGTCGGTGGGCCTCTTATAACTATTACTGAGCCCAGAATTACGCAAGATGCGATGTCTATCCTGAATCGCTGGCAGCGACTTAAGGCTCTTCACCAACAATTCTGTTTCCGTTGGAAAGAAGAGTATCTTAAGGAGCTGCATAAACGTAATAAATGGCAATTCGCACAACGTGACTTGAAGGTCGGCGACATGGTCATCGTGAAAGACGACAATGTCGCCATCAACGAGTGGCGGCTCGGCCGTGTCCACCTCACGCACCCAGGAGATGATGGGAAGGTCCGAGTGGCGGACATTCTCACCTCCCGGGGCATTGTCCGTAGACCCGTCCATAAGTTGGTCATCCTACCAACGGACGATAACACCGCTGTGATGTCCAACTAACAATGTATGTGCCTCTTATTCCGTCACTCACCACCCCCGCACATCTCTCCTTTTCAGCTATGTCATCAGCCAATCATTCGATTCAATCCGTGGAGACACCTGGCATCAATTCCTTCCGATGCCGCGTGTGTAGAGGGGTCCACGCTCTGCGGAAGTGCAGGCGTTTCCTGGGCCTTCCGGCCGAAAAACGTCTTCGCGCCGTACTCATCAACAAGTACTGCGCGAATTGTCTGGCGCACCAACACTCCGGGCAATCCTGCCGAAGCAAAGCGAAATGTAAGACGTGTGGCCAGAGCCATCACACGCTGCTGCATTTGCCTGGAGCTCGTCGCCGACAGCGACGTCGTCCCGCTGCAGCCCCTATCAGCGGGCCCACCTCCTCCGCCTTCGCCGGGACACCTACACCCCAAAAAGGATCCCGCAAAGGACGACGCCACCAGGCAGCATCCAGGGCCACGAAGGAAGCCACGCCGCCGCTGAGCACGCTGATGCAGCACAAGGCCGTCAGCATCCTGCCCACGGCAATTGTCGTTGTGCAAACAGGCCAGAAAGATTTCGATGTGAGGGTGTTGATCGATCCGTGTAGCCCTACTACTCGGATCAATGCTTCATTGGCAAGGGCCATGGGTCTTTCCGCCACTAGCGTGGGTCCGGGAGAGGTGTGCACGGCGACCATCTGCTCAAAAACATCAGATTTTCACATTGACGCTATCCTGCAAGTAGACCCGCAGCTCAATTGCCGGACGCCAATCCGGCCGATCGAGCACGCAGCCAATCCGGCTGGGATTACGCTCGCCGACGGCAATTGGGCTCGACCCAGTACGGTGTCTGTTGTGCTGGGGGCTGACGTGTATCCTCACGTCATCCTTCCAGGAATCGTCCCCAGCACTGACGGTCGTCCCATGGCCCAGAACACCGTCTTCGGGTGGGTCCTTTCAGGGTCCTACCAATGATCTGATCCAATGTATATTGCAATCCTTGCAAGGGGGGGAGTATGTTAATGCCAGATCCCATTAACAGGATTGCTCCTCCCCCACAGAGCCCGATTATGCTATTAACAGCTTGCTGTTAATAGCATAACCGCTTGCTCTCAGTACTTGGCCCTCCGCCAAGTACTATTACTACTACTACTATTATTCCTACCACACTACTGAGTACAACGACTTGAATTACCGCCATTTTGCGTGTGCTTAATAAAAATAAGTTTTTAAAGAAAAATAAACACACGTGTTCTTATTGAAGACCACATCCCTACAACTTTGCTTATTTGAAGACTCCACCCTGCAACATTTGTTTTTTTATTTTTTTTTTTGGTGCATCGGCCGGGAAACGAACCCGGGCCGCCCGCGTGGCAGGCGAGCATTCTACCACTGCCAGATCCCATTAACAAGAATTGCTCCTCCCGCACCACACAATGTTATGTTGTTAACAGCATTCTGTTAATAACATCACCCAGTTCTCCTACTGGTTCGCGGTACTTAGCGCCCGCTGAGTACTTCGTCTCGCGCCTCACTTGCCTCACTTGCCTCTCCTGGTACTGTCGAGACATATGTACATCTTATTACTAATGCTATACGAGCAACACAGCTTTAATCTTAGAAATAAAGACGAGGAAATTACAACCCGGTCTTTTTGCTTATCGGCGACGCCACCACTCCAACATTTGGTCCTTCGAGCCGGAGAGGCAAGTGAGGCAAGTGAGGCGCGAGACGCCAAAGTGCAACCAAATTTGGCTTTATAACCGAAAATAGGCCAACTTTTAAATTTTACCAGGACAGCGATCCTAAACATAAGGAGTATAATGTACGCAATTGGCTACTTTACAACTGTGGAAAGGTCTTGGATACACCACACCAAAGCCCAGATCTCAACCCAATCGAACATGCATAGTCCTATTTGAAGAAAAAGGTTGGAACAAGGAATCCAACCAACCGTGGACAGCTAAAAGCTTTCATAATGGAGGAGTGGCAGAAGTTACCCCTAGAATATATTCAAAACTTGGTCAACTCGATGAAAAGAAGACTCCAACATGTACATTTGCTAAAGGGGGCCATACTAAATATTAAGTTTTTCAAAATTATCTATAATTAGTTTTACAATTTAAATTTAGAACAATATGTATGAAGTGTGTAAAGAGTTTCTTGACAGTGTCAAATATGAGTAATCTAAGTTTTTGTTTTTTTTTTAAGTTTCACCCTTATTGTTTTTGTTTCTGTTTTTTATAATTTAATTTAAAAATATCTATTAAACAGTTAACCATTGAAAAAAAATTAGCTGAATAAAACAAAAACTCGTTATTTTTGCACATAAAGTAAAACAAATTGAGTTTTTTTCCACTGTGTAAAGTGTTTCTTTACAGACTGTATGTATATGTTGAAGCACCAGCATTCTCTTTATTCATTTCCATTGTGCAGCAAGTTTCGGCGGCGGACAAGTTCTAAACGTTACTAATCTCTGTTTCTCAACCATTTCTGGTGCTTTCCGCCGAACCACACTCGGCGACAGCATACAGACGCTGTCGCCCAGCTACAACGGGACTTTTTCTTGGTACAAATCATATTCGACCAATTGCAACACACCGAACGGCCGATGCAATATTCTTGTGGAATTACAACAGTCGCGGAATTCCGAGAAAAGCAAATTCATCCGATTTCGCATACTAACCACCAAATACCCTTAACGGCTTCACTATGCAAGCTGCGCTCATCACCATACTAGGGCTGCAAATCTATCGATGGCTGTTACCGATCTATCGATGGAATTTGAATAGTCCGATAGATAGATGGCTTTTTTGCACCATCGATATATTTGTTCTCTTTGCAACATTTCATTGCAGGATTACAATATGGACAAATTTTTAAAACCGTCAAGTAAGTAATTATAAAAAGCAATGCAAAGTAATTTTTTTGTTAATAATTATTAAATATTAAAGATAAGAGAGAAGCGACCAATGAGCCGAGCATGCCTGGTGCCGATGAGGCGAAAAAGCGAAAGAAGACATCGGAGGTATGGACACATTTTGACAAGTGCCAAAACAAAATGTTCGCCAAGTGCCGCCTTTGCGGCAAAGAATATAAAACAAGTGGCAATACTTCCAATTTGCTGGAGCATTTAAAACGTGTTCATCCAGTTAGATCGAATTAATGAGGGAGGAAAAAATGAAGTATTAAATTGGAATTTCGGGTATGGAATAAGTTGCTTATTTCTTTTAAGTTTAGTTTGTTAAGATCTAGACGTAGTAATTGGAGGTTAATTTAGCAAATTAAGTAGTATTAGTTTGCATTTAAATTTGTATTTGAAAAGGCCGCCCAAAGCGCTGATGATTTGTCGGCGATCGGCGACACAACCCTGCGTGGAGAGTTTGAGCGGAGAGTTGCGTCGCCGACGCCGAGCGCTTAGGTCGAACGAGAGAAGAAAAGCGAGAGTTAGTCGGGGCTAAGCGGCAAAGGTCGTCGGATGACGGAGAGTCGGGATCGAGCAGCGGAAGCCGTCGGATGAAAGAAAAACTAAACTAAATTGTGCAAGTAATTTTCCTTTAAGTGCGGTTAAGTTAGTCGAAAAGTGTAAAATAAAATAACTTGGCGGAAAACAAATAAAACAAAGAAGAGTTTTCATTGAGAGAGGCGACGGCGAAGCTAGCAAAGGATCGGACGGCGGCGAGTGTAAGGCTGGATTATAAAGCAAGCGGTGCACGTGAGTGGCGGTTCCCATATTGAATTTTTACACCCTCTTTCCCTGTTCCCGGTCATATTACTAAACATCTACCCCCCCCTGGTGTGTCTCGATTCAAATAAATTTCTAAAAATTACTACCGGCTAAAATTTACTACCTTACAATAGATCAATTTGTAAAATGCCATGACAAATATACATATGCCATCATAAAAAAAATTAAATTAAATTCTACCCTACATAAATAGATCGGTGCCACGGATGGCAACAATGATTGATCCACGGTTTAAAAAAGAGGGGTTTCGTAACTCGAGTGTTGCTAAATGCGGCACAATATATTGATCCGCTCACTTATTGGAAGGTAAGTTTGCTAACTGAACATATGCATAATCTAACGTTAACTTTTTCCCAGATTAATGAGTCTCAGTTTGGCGCGATTGCGCAATTGGCAACAAAATATTTATGTGTTCCCGCTAGCTCCACTGAATCTGAGCGAATTTTCAGTAAGGCGTTGAAGCCAAAAAATGTAAATATATTATTGTTTTTGAACAAAAATATGAGCTTGGTTGATGATGATGATGAAATAAGCAGAAATAATAATTGAAATTAATAGCTTTTTTACCAGACAAAAAAGTACAAATGGATCTCTACCTTTTATTTTATTTTATAATATTATGTTTCAAATAATGAATTTTTTGTTTTTGTTATTGTTTTATACTAAGAATTATGTTTGAAAAATGTATTAAATACAATATTGTTTAAAAAAAAACACTAAAAAAAATTTTGATAATTCAAAACATAAATTTCGAATTATTTAAATGTAAATAATAAAAAAATTTGAATAGTTAAGTACTCAAATTTCATAAAATGTTTCCTTTCAGCTTTTTAAATTTTCGATGGAACCATCGATATATTCGATAGTTTTTTCCATCGATGGTGAAAATATCGAGTGGAGCCACCCTCGATGGATTTGTAGCCCTACACCATACCCTGTCATAGAACTCACATTCTTTGTTCAAGGGCATCGAGCACACAGGGTCGACTCACACGCGCACAAGCGCGAAGGCAAGCATGACGGGAAATAGACAAGTAGGTAGAAGCACAATTACAGTGCGCGCCAACATATTAATACCACTTGCGCTTCGACATTTATAGTGAAGGAAAATAGTCAACATATACCACCAATTTTTCGATATTTCGGGGTTTCGAAACGAAAATAAAAAATAAGGCAAATAGTTAGAACATTAATACATAGGAATCATTATTTCCACAAAAAAAAAAAAAAAATAATAATAATAATAATAAAACAATGTATACTAAAGTTGTTTGTAAAAAACATAAAAAACCTTGGCAAAAATGAGATAAAATTATTTCTCCTACATCTTTAAAGCTAGCGTCTCCAACAATTCAAGTTTTTGTCAAAAATGTATCCCCCACCCCTTACCCTCACCCACATATTTGTAAAAGACGTATTTAAAATACTAGAGACTTGTGCTTTGGTAAATGCATGCATATCCATGCTATAATCATAATCTGAAATATCTTATGAAGGTAGTCCATTGACAAGAAAAGTTATTAAACAATTAATTTCCATAGTAAGCCTACACTGCAGCTCATGAGTTTATGCGTGCGTGCGTATGCCTGTTGTGTGTGTTTGTGCGTGTGCATATGCGAATAATTATTGAAATATCAGTTGCTCGAAGGGTTCGAAGGGATCTCGTAGTCGAGTAGTTTCGACTAGAGCTTTCTTACTTGTTATACATATATATATATTGTTGAGCACCTTTTGGACCTTGGTACAAAACCAAGACTAGGTAATTGTATTTTATGTTTAAATGTAACCCTCTATTACAGAACCAGTGGCTACAGGCGTCGCAACAAATATTTGAACCAGTTGGACAAATACTGACAGACGAGACTCGTTGCTCTATTTTCAAGTGCTATTTTCTTACTAGATTATTATATGAAAGTAACGGTATTATATACCATTTCTTAGGAGGTAGGTACATTAATATCCTCCCCCACATGCTGGGTCTCAGTACTTTCCTCTCCGTGAAGTACCGACTTTCTCCAATTTTTCTAGAACGAGCACACATATACCTCCATATTGTGTTTTAAGTAAATAATAAAGAAAACATGAAAATTTTACATCCTGTGTTTCTGCTTATCCGATGCCAACGCTACACATTTTGATCCTTCGAGCCTTCATCAAGTTTCAAGCCCGAATTGACGGTTCCGGGGACTCTGGCTCCACCCAGGCGGCTCAGCTCCGGGCCTTCAACATCCGACGAGATCGGGTCAAGGCATTGTGGGATGATGTGGAGCAGCAGTACAAGGTTTGAGCCAAAGCATTGACCCAGGGGTACAGATTGATACCTTTTCCGCATCGAGTGCACCGCTCGCTCTTGTTTCCATTCTCTTCGCCTCGTCTGGAGACTGTCGCCTTCCACCTGTTGACACAGAATACTTGCGCTGGCCAACGTTATTATTATTATTATTATTTCACCCCAAGAGAGAGAGAGAGAGAGAGTTCTTAGTGAGAGTGAACAGACGTGTTGTTTTTCTGCTCTGTAAATTTGATTGTTTTCATAATTACCGGATTTTATTAAAGTTTCACACAATTGCGGTCGGCTGATTTTTGCAAGTGGCTATATATTCCTGTGCAAGGTTTGATCCGTTTTTATACCATGAACCCATTTTCAATGGGAAATCAGTGTATAATGGTTTTGTTGAAATGTATGTAACAGGCAGAAGGAGGCGTGGCAGACCCCCACACAGTATATGTATTCTTGATCAGGGCGACGAGCTGAGTTGATTTGGCCATGTCCGTCCGTCCGTCTGTCCGTATGTTTGAACGCGTCGATCTCAGATATAAGAGCTAGAGACTTAATTTTTTTTTTTTTTAATGACCGTATATACAGCGCGGATGTCGAGTTTGCTTTTAAAAT